AGCTGTCTGTGCTTGCGACCTGTGGGAGTCAATGGACGTTACCAACAGTGGCTCAACAAATAAAAAAACCGATACTAGATTGTTGTGTATACTGGGGGTACTTGTGTTTTTTGACAAGAGGTAATAAATGGAGCCGTATAGCTCCACTTCAAGGAAAAAAAAAAACTTAGGCGCTCAGCGTTGAAAATATAATAATTTGCATTAGGACAAGTCGATATTTGATAAAGTTTTCACTTCAGTTTTCTGAAGATCAAACTATTGAAACACAGAAAGTTAGCCAAAATTCACACAGGTTGATATTTAGGACATATGTATGGGGCAGATTGAGTCATAAATCAACGCAAATGTTTTGCCAAAATTCGAAACGAACAGATCAGTGTCCCCCTTTTCCCTCGCCTTGCCCTTTTCCATTCAGCCCTTACGTATTTATGGCACTAGTTTAATTGAAATAAACAAGCATTTTTAAGAATATGGCCAATTACAAATAATGTCATTTAAAGAAAATACTACATGTAAATTAGTTATCATTATTGTAATCAATGAAACAGATTCTACAGAACTACTTGAATAAGAAAATATAGGCCTACAAAATTTATCAGTTTATTTGGGATATAACCGTTATCTTTTACATCCAAAAACAGATAAACACTGCGCATGTCATTTAGGCCCTCAGCATGAAAGAGCATTGGCAAACTTTATTTGTTTGTTTTTTAGCCTCAACAATTTGTTGCACAACCTTTTTTCATTTCTAATACGAATGAAACACTAAAACACATAGAATACTATTTCTTGAAAATTGGACAAATCGTGTTAATACACCTTTTGTTTCCTTTTTATTTTTTGTACTTGTTTTGGATTTGTTTTCCACCTGTAAATGTAACAATAGATACATCAAATACAGCAAATCCTAATTACACCACGTTCTATGACGACTGCCAACCGTAGAAAGAAAAGATCCCCTGCAGCATAAACACTGATTACTGTGATGTTTGTCTTTGTAAAAATGTAATTGTGTAGTTCATGAACAATTCTTTTAGTCAAAGTAAGTTCATAATGTCATTTACTTTATTTTCAGCTCTTCCCCTTCCTCAGAATCCACTTCTAAAGAAGAAAGGCCAAGGGAAACCCTAGTAGTAAGGGTACCACTGGTACTCTGTCGCGAGAGAGGGATATCATTGGGTTCAGACTGACTTCCGGCAAAGATATTCCACCTTAAACCCAGACGGCGCAGCACGGGCTGAATGACACGTCGCCACTCTTGGCGAACCTCCGCCTGCCTGACACAGAACAAGACGAAGATCAGCAAACCCTGTGCAGAGTTGAAGACAGCGAAGAGCACCTGGAAAACGAAGGTGGATGTTTGGACAATAGCCAGGAGTCCGAAGATCCAGGTCAAACCAAGCAGCACTGAGATGCCCACAGCATTCCGCAGGCGTTGCACGGTGGTCTGGCGCCTGTTTTGGCTGGCCATTTTATTGGCGTTACGCTTTAGCTGGCGCATGACAGCAACAAAGATGACGAAGTTTAACAGAAGGATCAGTCCAATTGGGAGGAGCAGACCGAAGTAGAAGGCATTACCAGGTTTCAAGAAGCAGCTTAAATAAAGAATAGAAAGTATTTTTACACATGAATTTTAAAAAACGCATTTTCTGTAACAATCCATCATTTTGAAACTGTTCCAGCCTCCCGTATTTTATTATTTACTAGCAAAATCATTTCATAATAAATCTAAACCTTCTCTACAAATTGGCACCGTGATTTTGTTTGGCCGATTTTGGACAATAACGTGTACATCGTGGCACAAATAAAAAATTGATCCCACATAGGAAACAGGGGTTTGGTTCCAAAATATGGGGAAAATGTCCCTAATCGCCATTGGGATGGGAACCTCATTTGTGCATGATAATAATTAGATGAGAACAACATACTTTCACATCAAAATAACATAAACGAAGTTTGATTCAGTAGAACTCTGGTATTATTAACTCACTGTTTGTTGTCCGAATATTGTGTGTGGTCTACAGCAAGAACAAGGATCACAATAACCAATGGAAATCCTGAAAGTCAATAAGGAATGAATGAGTCACGATGGAACTATTAAGAGATAAATTAAGAGCTCAATAATCGTGTGCAGTTGTCTCTTATGTTCAGAAAATTATTAGCCATATAAGACCAAAAAAACACAACTGCCTCTGAAGTGTTTCCTTAACGTTTTTTATGATGTTATTACCGAAGGCGGCAACCACAGTTTGTTACTGCAGGCCCACACAACTTTTTTACGAAACCGTTTTAAAAGCAAGTGCCTAGAAAAATTGAACTCTGTACAAATCTGACAATATCCATGCTAACTTTAACCTGG